TCCCTATACTCAAATGTTTTCTACTGTTGCACTGAATAACCCCTAGAAGTTTGATCCCATAGTTCTGAAACACCCTGTATGTAATTTAAACATATCAAATAGATAAAAACATATATTTGCAATAATAATTTAAAAACGTAGAACTAAAATTCATGTATAAAAATATATTTATACTAAATAAAATAACACTGGAGAGAATTATATAAAAATTACCTGCTATTTGTTTATATAGACGTTAAAATTCTTGTATTGTATGCTGATCATTATGATTCGTATAAACGTGTGCACGCTTGTTTCGCGTAAACAGGTTTTTAAAGGTTCGCAAGATAGAGCATATTTCCTTTCAAAAACACTCCTCTGTGTGTAACGGGGGGGATGTGAAAGTGGTGGTGGCGACAAAAGGAACAAGGGTGATGAATCGCGGTGCTGCAATGAAGGTTTTAACGTTATACTGTCTATATCTGCATTTGCTAACGAGCATCCGGATCTTTCGAAATTCCGTTGAGTAGAAAGAGGAAAAGCGCTTTTCGCGAACGGCGCTATTGAAATATTTTGAAGAGACATTTGTGTGGCACGAACAATATTCAGAGCTGCTCTCTCGCGAGCGATTAAACACGGCGCATTAGTAGTCAGCAGAGATGTAATAACTGTAGACATATATGCTCATTACGACAATATTGAAATTGGTTATAATCTCTTCTAATTGGAGTAAGTTTTACGTGACAAATTGGGGATTTTTAACACACTTTCTTTATTAGCCGTATAATTAATAAGCTTAAGTATATAATTGATATCTCGAATGAATGTTTTAAAATAATCACCTCTTTTATGTAAATGTTTTGATATTTGTTTCTAAAATAAAAAAGAGAAAGAAAAAAATACAAAATACAAGCTATAAACATAAATACAACCAAAAAAAGAAAACAAATAATCTAATATGAGTGTATAAATGCGGAAAATATACAAATCAAGAGCAAAATGTTAATGCAAATAAATTCAAACGTGTAACGTTTCGAAACGTTTTGACTTTAATATCGAGTCATCTCTAGTCGACGAAATGCATCTAAATAAACCAACACTTCGTAGTAAATTGTAGAACACGATGCGAAACGATTTCTTATTAATATACTACGTAATTTAATTAAAATGTCGTCAAATTATTGAAGGTAAAGTATGTACTCTGTCACACAAGTCAAACATCTTTGGAGTCAAAACTAGAACATTGGACAAACAAATAATCAATTAAAATTATCAATTATATAATATATATACATATATATATATATATATAATTTATAATATATATTATATCAAGTTTTGTTTGCAAGAAGACAGATGATATTTAATCATGTTGATGTTTGACATTTGCGAAATATTGTTATACATATATTTGTCTCGTAATAAAGTTACTGGCTTAGAATAATAGATGTCGACGAAATAGTTAATTATAGTCATTACCACAACATTTCAGCAATATGATTAGCTGTGTTAGCGTCGTTTATACACGAAGCGTTTCAACTCGAAGCGCGATATTCGCAGCGAGAATTCCGCGCGATTTCCGACCGAGTGACAATTAATGAACACACGATAGTGTGTGCAACGCTGTGTGTGTGCGTATCGTTTTCTCTTCCGTCCTCTTCTCTCACTCTCACTTTCTTCCCTTCGAGATCGATTGTTCATATTATATCGCGCGATTTTTCGAGAGAGAGAAAAAGTGAAACCGAAGTTTTAAAAAAATGCAAATTTCACCTTTCGTATATAAGCTCTTTGTTAACGTGAACATTTCAATGCAAATTAGATGCATATTTTTGTCAATACTATTTGCATACCACATAATATACTCATAATATTTGCATATTTTCTATATTTAAACAAATATTCGCGTCGGGACCGCTTTCACATTCGTCCCGAACACAATTTTGTTTGATATGTGGCGAACCACGCACAAATTTTGAGGAGAATATTTTATACTTTTCCCTCCCTCTTTCAGCTCTGATTTTAACACATAATACATTTTTAAATGAAACATTCGAATACATCATACTTCGTTTCAAGTGTGACATTTGTATGTAACATTTCGAAATCCAATGTTGAAAAAAGAGAAAAATACAAAATATCTTATAAATTATAAAAACAAAAATAAAATAAAATTCTATTACTTGTGTTATACTGTGAAATTATTATGTTATTATTGTTTTTATTGTGTGATGATATTTTATCGAGCGTTTTATGCAAAAATCTGGAATACGGCGCAGAAGTCCAGTCAGCAGATCACGAGTCGTCAAGCGCGCTACTCGGTAGCGCGCCCAAGGACGACTAAGATAAGCGTCGCACGAGCAGTTCGAAAAGATGCAATGATCGGCGTTGTATTTTTTTTTTTTTTAGGAACCGGATGTCGCAATCAGCCAATCAATCACAGACGATTTAACTGATGATTAAAAGGCGGCATCCGAGCGTAAAAACTGAATCGCGTTCCGAAACGCGTTGCTGCCGAAAGATCTATCCGGTAGATCGCGAAGTGTGTTATTTATCGCTTAATTTACGAAAAGATCGTCTTATCTGTAATAACAGTTTAACCGAATTAAAAAGCTACTTTGCCTGTAGATATAATTGCTTCTGATAAAATTAAAACGTGAAACAATTTCTGCAACACCTGTTAATTAGAGAATGTTTTTGCAGAATATTGCGGGCTTTTGCTCGCAATTAATTCAATTAATTATGGATTAGGTACACTTTTCTACAACCCCGCCTGGGGTAATGCATGCCACTAACAATGTTACATTACAATTTCGGATTAATGCAAAATTAATATTAGAGAGATTATTCATTGACAATTAAATCTTTACATTATTGCCATCTGTATATACTCGCGAGATGTAACTCGCGATTGCAAATAAACTCAAAGATTTTATTTAATCAACGAGTTTCGCAGGTGTGATTTGTATTGTGAAATTCTTGTGAAAATGTGTGATGTTACCGAAGTAAGAAGTAAATAAATTTTTCTATACTCGCGTATTTTTCTAATTTGTTTAATGTACGCCATGTAATAGAAAATTTGTACCTAAAAGTACATAAATATTGAATGTATATATAATATCAATTTCATGCACTTTGAGCGCATATTTCAGTTGCGAAATAAAATATGTATCAAATCAGATGATATATATGTGAAATGAAAATTCATATATACGCGATGATCGTAATACATATCTGAAACTCTAAACGTGTGTTTGTTAGATGAAATTTCATAAGCTTATCAAAATGTGATTAATAATTCCATTAATATTTAATTGATAATAATGTATTTAGCTTACGCACACACACACACAATATAAATTTATACATCTAATATAATCAAATGTTTATCCTCAACCACATTGTATGTGTGTGGAAGAATATGAGAAGCAAAACAGAATCCACAACGGGGCATAATATGAGAAACGTCTGGTATTACGAAGTTGCAACTTCGCGTAATTTTAATAAATATTTTTCTTCGAGGCAAATCACAAAGCGAGTTTATTTTCTACTCACTTCTTTCAGAATGACTGTACGTACAGACAATCTTTCGCAAAAGTAGTTTGTCGTGTGTGTTGTAAATCACTCGGTTTTGAATTGTTTGTGTGGGTTGCGGTAATTAAAATTGTACACCGCGCATCGGGATGACACTTTGCGAAAAAGAAAACGTTCATCGCGACGAACGCAATTTTGGTTTAACGAGTATTGACACTACGTTTTCAATCTTCATTGAAGAGACAAATACGTTACATTGAGTGCAGTTCTTTTTACACGCGCACATACACACACACACACACACACACTCGTTCGTAACTTTCTATTCGCGCGAGAAAGACGAGAGGAGAGAAGCGCGCTCTCCCCGAAGAGTCGTCATCGTCGTCGTCGTCGTCGTCGTCGTCGTCGTCGTCGTCGTCGTCGTCGTCGTCGTCGGGCTTCCACGTGAGCAAAGCGGGTTTCTCGCACAAACGAAACGTGGGCGCGCACAAGGATTCTATACCTAACACGGGCGGCAACGACGTTTTCATTTTCTTTCTTATTTTAAACGCGTCTTTCACGCATCCCTTCGACTCCGTGAATTGCGCTTTGCAGTTAACGCCTCTTTCGACATAATCGAGACAAACGAGATGCGGAACGAGTCGTTTCCTTCTTTCTGCGTTCGCGCACGTGACATTACCGGAGCGCATATTTCCTGAGAAAGAGAACTGCGTTACGCGCTAGAAATTCATAATTTTCCGGTCGTCTCGTACCGAGTATTTCCTCTCAGCAGCTGTTTAGCGCGACATTTTCCGTCCTTATCTCATTCTCCCGATGGTGTCGCGATTTCATATATAATTCCCCTTCGCGATATTACTTGATATTTTTCTTTGGGACTCGCTGCGCGCGACGACGCTTTAAACGCAAACTTAAAATGTATTTTTGTCACCATTTATTCTCTCTCTCTCTCTCTCTCTTTCTTTGCTGTATCTATATCTACACCTATATGTGTGTCATTTAAGTATGATCTTCAAGAGAGTTTTCGAACTTGTCAACGAGATAGAAACTAAAATTTATTTTACCTGTTTACGAAAGAAAAATTCTACTCGTTAGAGCTGAAAATATTGAAGTTGCAGCGAAGGATTGCGGCGTGTCGTAAACAGACTTTAGCCAATATGTCGTAACTTTGCGATTAATTTCTTCGGCTAGCGCTCTATCCGTCTGTCGCGTCGTCTCAGACGACGACGACGACGACGGAATTATCGATTAATCATTTACCGTTTCTTCGTTAGACAAGCGTTAAATCTCGCTCAAAACCGCGGCGCGTCGACTTTCTTCTCGGCTCTCCTCAAATATGGAAGTTATGAAATTCTTGCCGACACCGTCGCGGTTATTAATCGTGCGCTCACACAACACTCATTCGCGACGTAATGTATTGACTTACGCGATACACACACACACACACACACATACACACCGTAGGGTTAGATTTTGTTCCCGATCGCGTATATACGGCGCAAGTACTTCGACAATTTTTTAAAATTTATTGCACGGCCACGCGCTCTCTCGCGTTCGTAGCGAAATGAAACAAGAAGGACACGAAAGGAAACATCGCGCGTCTTGAACCAGCCGTTAAATCCTGATTGGTAGTTTCCGTAATACACGTCCATTGTACGCTCTGTGTTGCACAAGTTGCTCCGTAACTTTCGTGAATGTTGTGGTTTGTATCGCGCCGCATCAATCTGCTCTTCCGCTCGTGTGAAACTGTTTTGCAATAAAATTGATTCATTCGAATCATCGCCGCGTGAATGGAATTTCATTCTCGCGCGATATCCAAAACAACAACGTAATACAACCACGCGATATTAATACAATTTTTATGTATATATACGATTTAAAACCAAACGGGAGAATTTTCAAGATATTATCTTTTAAGCGTCGAACGTAGTTGAAAAACTTTTTATTTTCCACTTAAAAAATTTCAAAAATAATACTCGCTGCTTATAATAAAAACCACCTCCGCGCTTACATTCTATTTTATCGTGATATATTTTTTTGCGCCGTCCGAGTTTTAGCGTCGCGCGAGAAATGCGCATATTTTCTGGATGTATTTTTCTCACGTAGAATTTGATAAATTTGTAACAAGACGAGACGCGACGTTTTGATGCCAAGGGTGAAAGTCTTCTCCGAGTCATTTCAAGGAAAATATACGAGGACAGAGACCTAACCGCGCCGTCGGAAGAAGTCGCCAGCAGGGAGAAAGAAGATAGAGAATAAAAAAAAAAAAAAAAATCAAAAAGAAAAGAAAAAGAAAACATCGTCGTTTCGGACACACCTACGTAATCAAGCGGCGCGTTTAGAACTGCGCGTCGTTCGGCAAACAAACACGCAGTGAGAGAGGCAAAGTTACCTCCGACTAAATTGGGTTAGCTGAAATCCGTTTATGCTAACTCTAATGGCGAAAGCGTGAGCCGCATGCAGGCATCGACACCGAACTCGGACTTTGGTTGAGGACAAAATTCGCGACGAACGGCATACGGAGATTTGTTCTTTCTTTTTGGGAAAGAGCTAGAAGAGGAGCGCTAAGAAAGAACCTTTTCGATCGTCAAATATTGACGCGCCTATCATGTCGTTTCCGGATTCGATTTATTATTCGGATTCGAATCTGATATCCTATGTACGGTAAGCGGATCGTCGCGAGGAAAATCTGGGACAATCTCGATTAACGGCCACATACCTTATGTGTACCTTATGTGTTACATAGTACATCGAAGCAAATGTACCCACACGTGTGTACGTGTGTCACGAAATAATTAATTGTACACGATAGATAATTCTATAGACATGATTCAACAATTCTCTGTGTGTCGTTAAAACGTATTTCAATGACATTAATAAATTGTTTTACATGTGCATATTGTTTTTGTGACGTATTATTTTATACGTATAAATATTTGAAAAAAATATTTCATGTGCATGTATAAAGATATTTAAATTTAGTGGTACAAGAGATTAAAATGTTCAAAAATCACACAGAACATATACGTTATACATATAATTGTATTCCTTGAAAAAAAAAAAAAAAAAGCAAGAAACGTTACACACACGTAAAAATCTTTTCGCAAACGAAATTATCGCCTTTTGTAACTCAATGATACTCCGCAGCATTCGCCGTAGTTTATTCCGTGAAATATTGTCGAAATCGAAAAAATTCACCGCATTCGAGGAAAAGTTCGCTCCGATTCAACTGCATTTTTCCCGTAACGCCGTTTTAAACGCGAACTCTGTCGCGTTAGCGCGATCGAAGTCACCGGGGCACAAAACTGTCGCGCGGCACAATGCGGTACATCAAGATAGAATCGAACGCGGGAATGTTATCGTGGCGCGGCCAAAAACACCTACCGGAATCGTTTTAGAAATAAAGGGAGGATACCATCCTTCTTTCTCTCTCTCTCTCTCTCTCTCCCTTGGTATCTCCGGTGGCGTAATCGAAGGTCGTATCTACCGAGAAAGAACCGAGTTTTCTTTTTTTTTTTTCCATCTCACCATCGGAAAATGCACTTCTGGCAACGAAGACGCGGACCTACGTGATTTCACTCTGGAGACCATAGAATCGTCCCTTTTCTCGCCTTATTTGAGGTCTGGCGCAAATAAAAATAAACCGGACCCCGGCACTGTTCATGCCACGGTAACTACGTTCAAAAAGCAACGCTTCCCAATCTCTGCCAAATTTCCTCTTCTTCGCTTACCGAGCAGAAAAATATTACACGTCCGTGCGTAACACACGTCCGCGACCAACGTATTTTATATCTTTTTTTTTCTCTTTTTTGTTTTTTTTTAATTTCACGTGTCCACCAAAGTCAAAGTAAAATGTAATTTTTTAAATTGGACAGTGTTCAATTTTATATTGCAAAATTATTTTTTATTTTTGTTTTTAGATGTGCTTTTGTTAGAGATATTATAATAATAACGTATGATTTTATCTGAAAATGCAGAAAATACAATATAGATAAATAAATGTTTACATTTCTATATAAACTGAAATATTTAATAATATTTTTAATCATATTAATTTTCTTTCGACGTTTTAATGAAAAATAGCACGAATTCTCTATCTCGGCGCTTGTTATTTCCCGACCAATGCTTAGAGTTATGTTAGCTATTTAAGCACTGACTTTGTCAGCGAAAAAATATGGTCGCCAGAGGACTGCATTATTTTGTTGGTTTATTTGGATCCAGAGGTTTACGAGGTTCCGATTTTATGAGATCAGGTATATTATCATGCTTGGCATTGTTTTCCCGATAATTGCACGTGTGATCGAAAGGATTAATAAACAAAGATCATTTGTGCTTGTGACACGTGGTATAGAAAATAGACAACAATTAACTCGATATCGACCAGATATAAGAGATTATTAGATAATATATGTTTTACCACATATTTAACACAAAAACATTTGTCTCGTCCAAGTCTGTGGACAATTTTTCTTCGTGTATGTACTTTAAGAAAATTTCCAATTTTTTATCTTTTTTTAGATCACTTATATAAAATTCTTTCTTTGTTATATATTCTCTGTTTCTCTCGTACAAACGAAGTCTCTCTTTTCTGTTTTCAGGTCATGCTCGAACGGAAGATGAAGGTCATCTAAGAAATCTCCCTCGATGTGCGACAAGATTTTGACGATGTGCAGTTTAGTGTTAAAGTGTCGGTGAGAACGGAGAAACTTCGCGTACTTATGATTTTCTTTTCTTTCATTTTATCGTAGCGCTCTTTGCGAAAAATCCGCACACGAACAATGTCGTAGTCGCCCAAATGCGAACTGACTTCACGTTGGACACAATGGCACTGCTATTCGCCATAATCGTTATTTCGATTGCCACTGCCATGTCGCTGCCGCCGGTCATCAGAATCGGTGAGTCCATATCTACTCAATTTATCGAATTCCAATTTATTTTCACGCACGCGAAATGTTATTGCGACTAGTTTTCGCGTCATTTTGCTTTTTGATTTTTTTTTTTTTTTTGGAAAACTAAACTTTTACGAAACATTGTGTAAAAAAAAAAATCACACTTGACAATTAACGTTGTGACCGTTTAATTTGCGAAAGTAACTTGCGAGCTTCGAAAAATATTTTTTTGCCAGTTCTGGTCGCGCGATGTTTTCATCCTGTCGCCATTTTTCTGTAACTTATGGCTTTCCGCGCGAGTCGTTGATCACAGAGAGAACCGACGCGAAAATACTGCAACACCGCGCAGCATGCGTAGCTCGCTCGTATGCAGTCAATTAGCTCAGCCATCCGTATAGAATTGTTTTTTGCTTTGCGCAACAAGATTTCCATTGTGATCGGATAAAGTGGCGGAATTTTCTTTGCGCTCGCGCAACTTACAATTCTTGCGGAAATTAATGGAAACCGAACGAGCGTCGAGATTTCGCGTGAAACAAATAACACGTGAAAACAACAAATTTCAACAGTTCGCGAATAATATCAAGTTACGTTGAAAATATTGGAAAGACAATTATATTATTTCTCTAATTGACTTGCACTTCGCGCGTCACTTCCCGTCACTTTTCGCAATTAAAGATCCGCGCGTTGCGCATTAGCGACGAATTTCCTCGTGCGTTGAAGTCGCGCGCAAATTTGCCGCGAATGCAACTCGCATTCAGTTTAAGGCAACAGAGAGGATCGTCGTCGGTAACTGCTTTTTGTTGTATTTTTTTTTTTTTTTGCAATATGTAAACCGCAGAAGTTGCTCGGAAACTTTCTGCGGGGTGATTACGCCTTGCTGCGCGAGTAGACGCGCGCGATACGGAATTACAGAGTACGCCCCCCCGTTACTAAGTACACGTGGATCGAATCTTCACCTGTTACCGTTCGCGACTTCATCAGTACGAGGGAAGGGGGTAGAGGGTTTATTAGTATTCCGGAAGCGTCTGGGCGTGGGTGGTAGAGCAGACGTGTCCGTGCGTTAGATGCCGAGCTCTCGACTTCTCTCGTGTAACGCCATACATACGTGCACGCGCGCGCGCTTGCGGCGCCATACCGAGCGAGCTCGAGGCTGTGTGCCGCTCGCCGGTTAAGTCTGACGGCAGGAAAGTTTTCCGTCGATCTAATTGGGTTGAATTTCCGCGGGGCAACCACCGCCTCGGGGGAAACTTGTCCGCAATTTCCTATGATGTCGGTGAGAATGAAGAGAGGGCGATAAGAGACGAGAGAGAGAGAGAGAGATAGATAGACAGAGAGCGCGCGGCCGGGGCTTGTCAGACGTGGAGCACGCGAATGTCCGCGAATGGAAGACGAATGAGGGGGACCGAAAGAAAGTAAGGCGCACCCCCAAGGGAGAGATGCGGCATCCTTCCGAAATGTGGCGTCTTTTCGTGAAGTCGACCGCTCGGGAAAATACGAGAGGAATATTACGTATTCATGCTCGCTACCATAATCTTTCTCGCGTTTGGAAACGTAATTGAAATATCTATTACTCACGCGCGCGTCCGCGGAAGATTCCCGCTTGTATTTGTAACATGATGCGAATAAAAATGACTGTGATTAGTTAAATAACGTTCAAGGCACAATTTACGTGCGCGAAAAAGAGAAAGAGATTTTTCTTTCCCCACGTCGACTAAAATATTTTTGTGTCGGATACATCCCCCGCAATGTAATATCTTTGAAAGGCAACAGTTGGACGTGAGTCTTTTTCGAACAAAATTCTGTTTCAGATATTAAATGCAATATATATATCGAATAAAATAAAATATTTGCACAAAAAAAAAGAGAGTTTTGCTGCTATACGGCCAGCAAAATTTGCTGAGTCCATTGAATTTTTTGTTTCTCCAACAAAACATTCTGTTGACAAACCAAAAACTTCAATAAACTAGACAAATTTTTTTTGCCCATAGTAGTAGCAACCTATTCTTTTGCTATTCTAGCAAATTTTTCTTTTACGTGTCAACACACAAATTTACGAATTCAAATTAAACAAAGACAATTATTCGTTGCTCCATTCGTTGAAAGCACCGAGATTACACGCGATTGACACATTAATGTACGTGAGAGTAAAAAAAGGCCAGTTTTTTTAAATACATACGACAGGAATATTTTCCAAAGCGCAACATTTATTCATACGCGCACGCGCGAACACAGCCGCTGATAGGTTTCCGATTAACGTATCTATTTGTCAAATATATACACATGTATATACATTTCGCGTTAACAATTGTTTTTTTTTTTTTTTTTTTTTTAATAGAAATGCGCTTCAATATATTCGCTGTGTAAATTTTTACCTCTTCCGTGTAATTAATATTTCACACTTAATTTGCCCGTATTTGTGCGTGAAACTTTATACGATAACCATTTCAATATCGTCCTGCAAGTGCGCGCCGCAAGTCATCAATAATCCGCCGCCGGAAAACAAGCGTTCGCGCGAACCAAGGGGCTATTATCAGGCGAAAATGAAGCTCGCTCGAAAATTATTGCGCGATCGATAATACGCGCGCAGCAACGTATGAGTTTTCTGCGCGCGCGGTATATATTATATAAACTTCGACCATCTAGCGCGTTGTGCGTTCCGATCAAAGTGCAAGTCATCTAATCGTCGTGCTAGAAGAACCCCGCCAACCACCTCGTCGTCTCGGTAGCATCGTAAATTTTATTTCAACGCGCGCCCGATCTTTGATCGTCCGCAGCGTCCGTATTATCGCGCCGAATATCGCGCTCGAATATCGCGTTCGAATCGCGGAACGCGATAAGACATTCCGTGACGTTTGAGGAGGTAAAAATAAGACGCAACAACAAGACAATTGTTTTCGCGATAGTAGCCACTGGTCGGTGCACCGTGTAACATTTTCACATTTCCGCAAAGGAGAGTTTTCATTGTTCAACCGATTTTATGGGACGGCGCGGGGGGGAGAGGGGGCGCGAGAGAGAGGTGAGCACATTAACGGAATTCCCGATAGCGGATACAGAGAGCGAGATTTGGTGGAAGGAAAAAGTTTGCTGAGAGAGAGCGAATTCTCGATAACGATCAAGATAGGTATCTTCAGCAAACATCGCGCCGGTCGGAAACGATGGTACTGTGCGAACGTAGTCGTATTCCGTGAGACCGTCCCTGCGTGCGCAGCGCTAAATTAACGCATTATCGCGCGAAATTGTGCGCGTTCGACGAAATGTTTTCCTCGCGTGATAAATCCCCGTAATGCCTGATCTCTCTTATGATAATTTTTCACTATCTTCTTTTTCTCTCTTTCTTTTTTCTTTCTGATAATGATTCTGATGTAGATGAAGTGACAGTGAAACGTTTTGAAAGACGTATTTTTCTTTCCAACATAAAAAATGTCTTATTTCCTCCCGTGCGTTTTTCTTATCATACGTTTTTGAACAAAAAAAAAAAACCAAATCTCCCAAACCGAAACTCTTTCTAATAAAAATGTATTTTTTACATATAAACCCTCTAGAAAAAGTATATTACTGTGTACTACAAAAACTTCTTTCTCTACAAACCTACTCTGTAAAAGATGTGATGTCAAAAATTAGCGCAAAGTAAACTTTTGTACGTTCTTGCATTGTTGTGAAATACAAAACGTTAAAAAACAATAAAACGTACGAAAAAAAGGTTGCGAATAGTGTACTCTTTATATTAACTAGCACGACACAGGCGCGCGCTACGCGCACGCTATTGTTATTTTTATTTTAACGTGTTATGTCAGTGAACACACAACTTGTCACCGCAATGACAGGTTGTGTCAGCTACTATATACAAACTATATTAATACACATGATGTACATACGAGAGATGTCAGAAATAACGCATGAAAATCACACAAAAATAATGAGAGAGAAGAGTGGAAAAACAACTCGCAACTAAATTACAGTCACGTGGTGTTTTTTCCTCCCTGTCACGTGACTTTAAAAAAACGCAAAAATATTTGGTTTTTTTAGTATTTTATTCTGAAGCGCTTGAGACTAAAATGAAAGTGATCGGTTCAGTCGTTTTTGAGATATTGCTCCACGAAAATCTTCTCATTTCTCGCATAAATTTCGCGTATAAGAAGCACGTGTCTCTTGATTTGTACGATATGAATCGAGAAGCACATTTTTGAAAAATGTCCAATCAGCGAGATAAAAGTGGCAACAATCAATATCGAGAGAATCGATTGTGATTATTTACACTCGCTTTTTCTGGAAGAGTTATAACAACAATATTTTATAAATTTATCTAAATATATGAATTGTAGTAAATTTACCATGTCATTTGGAAAACCTGACAAATTTATTTCTTCCCGTGCGTCTTTGTTATCGTAGTATATCCCGCTCGCGTGTATATTTTTGTCAAATAGTACGATGACGTTTCCCGATATAAATACTTTTGCTCGGAAGACTCGGGAGAATACAAGCTATTTGCAATAGCGAAAAACGTCATGAAATTTCAAGCACTTCTTAAGTCAAGAGTTTTTTTTTTCCCAAAATAATGCGGAATACGTGAGGTTGCAATTCCGCGGCTTTTCCTTCTTATATACATATATATTATTGTTATCCCGAGGGCATGTACAAAAGCGCGCATTTCCCAAATGCGAGTTCATGAATCACCGCGCGAGTTTCCGCGAGCTTTTCGCACATTACGGCCCGCACGTATATACATATTACGCTTACCGTTCTTCTCCGTTGTTGATAGATTGTCGTTATGCGCGCGAACATTATCGGGAGCGCAAGTCACTTTTGGCGCGGTACATCGCGCACTTTCCAAAGTATCATCATCTCCGGTATGTTAAAAAATTTCAAATTCGCCGAGAACTATGCGGCAGCATGCGTCCTCGCAAGTTGAGGCGAAACCTGAGGGAAAACTTCCGCATGCAGACGCGAGCATGAACGAGCTTAATAAAGTTTTCTTCTCGAAACCTCGCATCGGAAGCAAATCGCCA